CAGTAAAAGAATGGACAGGGGTCAAAGCAGGATTGATTTGAAGGAGTTAGATTTTTAAAATCCCTTTAAAAATCAGGACATAGCATACCACACTATTAAAATAAAATGCTTAAAAACGAAAAGTATTATGCACGCCACACAGTAGAAGATCAGATTTTTATTAATGCAAGTTTTAAATGCTGATTAATCCTCTTGAGAATCAGTTTCCCAAAGCTTTGGCCTGCATTCAAGTCTTTTTCAAAGGGGCACATCACTTCCATTATTCTGAATATTAATTGAACAACATTATAACTAAGGATACAAAGCAAGATTTAAAACATGATTACAGCTGTCATTGCTTACATCTAAATAAGTCTTTGGAAATTCAAGCTCGGGTAAAAATGTGGTAAATCTCTCTTATCAGAACAGTGGAGCTTTTCCCCTCCCCCACTTTTCGAAAACAAAAATGCTGTGCAGCGTATATTTGTGGCTTGATCTTAATAGATTCACACAAACTCCCCTCCATTGGAAAATGTGGATGTGTTTTGTCTGGCAATCTTATAATCATCCCAGAAGAGACATATTGTCTTTTTTAGATGTTGGGGCGAATGGGATGCTATTGGGTTGAAAGACGAAGCAGTCCATGTACTTCCTTTTAAAAAGATTTCTTGTGTTTTGTTTGGAATAAGCATTTTAAAGCCCCAATTCAACATATGTTTACATTTAAGCATCTGAGCAATCTCACACAATACTCGTGTGCTCAGGGCTGGATTAACTCATCATTGGATCCTAGGCAAACGTACACTTCTGGGTCCTACCTTCTCACGAATAACAAAAAACAGCTGTGGATATCCTGGGATCGGCTGCTCATCCTGCTACTGCTTGGAGGGACAGCTGGGCCAAACCAGAGCATGTGGCATTGTGATTTAGCACAGCGTTTCTCAAACTGGGGTCCGCAGGCCCTGCTGATTAACTCCTCACCCTCCTTCCTGTGCCTCCTGACCGCCGGGGAATAGCTGTTCAGTGGTGTGCAGGAGGCACTGGGAGGGAGGGGGAGGAGCAGGGTCAGGGCGCGCTACGGGGAGGTGGCAGAATCATGTCCAGAGCCACTGGCCCACCAATCAACTCCTCCCACTTCCTCCAGGTGCCTCCTGCATGCCGTGGAACAGCTGTTCAGTGGCGTGCAGCAGGCGCTGGAAGGGAAAGGTTGGAGTGGGGATGGGGCGTGCTGGGAGGGGAAGGCAGCAGAAAGAGGCGGGGAAGAAGAATGGCAGGGGTGGAGCGAGGGTGGGAAGAGGTGGGGTGGGGATGGGGCTTTGGGGGAAGGGACGGAGTGGGGGCGGGGCCTGAGGTGAGTGGGAGGGCTTGAGGGTCCACGTAAAATTTTACATCAAAAGGGGGGTCCTTGGGTAGCTAAAGTTTGAGAACCGCTGATGAGCACCACTCATGTCTGGCCAACCCAGGCACTGTGTGTGTACTGTATAGTTGTTTGTTGGGCCCCATTCCCCATTGAAATGTGCCTAGTTTGCCTGTACATTAATCCAGCCCTGCATGTGTGCTTAAAGTTAGGCATGTGTTTAAGTACCTTCCTGAACACAAGCCAAGAAGAGTAGCCTCTTAAGCAGAAGCATCTCCTTTGGAATTTTTGTATGTATTTGATGTTCTTGGAATGATGCCTTTTTTGGTTAAAACTGATGCAGGGTTATAGTAACATCTAATTCTGATGAGACAAATTGCATTATGAAAGGAGTATTAAAAATTTATAGTCCTATTTACTAAGTTTATTTGTCAGCCATAAAAGTCTGGATCTTACTTAACGCAAAAAGCATCCAGTCCTAATGATGAAAAAGATATAAAAAGATAATGGTGCGATCATAACATGTCTCAGAGTTTGTACATCTCAGTTGCAGTTTGGCACATTGCATAATTGTATTGTGCCAAACTGGCACCAACCCACAATATGTTAGTGAAAAGGGTCCACAATTTAAGAGGAAAATCTAGAAGTGTTAACTATACACTGTCTAATTATACAACCTTACTGTCCCAGAATGTGATTTCTGAAACCATTTCTGACATATGGGAAGGGGGTAGAACAGCTGGTCATTAAGGTTTTCTCAAGACTATTTAGTAACACACTTGAATGTAATTAAAGTGCTACATTAAATACTGCACTTGTGTACAATGTATTTTTAATCTTTATGGCATGTTGTAAAAGTAAATACATGCAAAGCATTAAAGTTTCTCCCCTTCATCTCCTAAATTGTTAAGATATGATGATATTCCCTAGCCATGCTGTGTGTATTACCTAAAGGATGCTATGCTACTGTGTAAGCATCTTGTTTGCCCCAGGCAATAAGTAAGCCTGATGTGAACTGCAAAAGATGGCTCTAAGTTTAAAATGATTTACTTGACAAAAATGAAACCTAGCAGAAAATACTCTGGAATGCGCTGATTTATTTGGTTATATTTTGATAGATAATGTTGCTGTGAACATCAGTTGGTCAAAGATTTTGTCTCCCATCAGACAGCTTTTGGAACCAATCAGGGTAACCACTCTGGGATAATTTTGAACTATGCTGGATCTAAAATGAGAAGTAAAACTGTGATTTTTCTCATTAACGCCCAGATACTCAAAGGTATTTAGCTGCCTAACTCTCATTGAAATTAATAGGAGCTAGGTACCTAAATACCTATGAGGAACTGAGCCTAAATATCTTACAAAAATAAAGTTTGTGGGTCAAATTTTGTCTTAAGATGCACATGATTTATTAGAAGTTGTGCATATGAGTTTGCAGGCAGAACTTGGGTCTGGATGAATACACTTGTAATCTTTCAGGCCTGGATTCAGCAAAGCACTAAAGAATATGCTAAACGTTAAGCATATGCTTAAGTCCCATCTACTTCAATGGGATTTAAGTACTTAAAGTAAAGCATGTGCTTAGATGAATCAGGGCCTCAGTTGTTTGTGTGTGCCCAGGTTTTATTTTCTGTGATAGTTACGTCTATCTGCTGAAAGGGGGCCCAATAGTTCCCTTTTCTGGTGTAAATCAAGGATAGTCAGTGGAGTTATACAGATGGAAAACCAGTGTCAATGATGTTGGAGCCAGAAGATATGGGAAAGGATGCCTTTTGATCTTTGATATGACTCCAGTAAATATTGCATTGGTATTTTGTATCCCTGATGATTCAAGTGTGTGGTCCACTCCAGACATGGAGGATAACTTAGTATCACCACATTTTTAACGCAAATTCCAGAAAAGAAACCATTTACCCTACAGGATCAAGATGCAACTCCTACTGTAGATTCTAGATAAATTAATTTTCTTTACTCAAGAACTATGCAGTGGAAACCCAAAATAAATAAAAAATATGCATGTTGTTGTATGCTGCTTTTAATCCCATTATTGTTCAGGTTTCCATTTTTTCTGGTCACTTATCAAATATTAACAGAGTGAAACCCACCTATGTAGGGGGCCAGCCAAGGGCTAAAGAAGGATTTAAGTGATATATGGCCTTTGTGCTGTCTCTCTGCACAGGGATGAATTTCACAGATATGCAGTGGATGCATTTCTCTCTCTCTCTCACACACACATGCACACACACACACACACACACACACACATATCTCCTCACTCAGAAATTCATTTATAATTAGGGTTCCATTTGTGTGTGGTACACCTCTACCCCGATATAACGCTGTCCTCGGGAGCCAAAAAAGCTTACTCTGTTATAGGTGAAACCACATTATATCGAACTTGCTTTGATTGCCGGAGTGCGCAGCTCCGCCCCCCTGGAGCTCTGCTTTACTGTGTTATATCCAAATTCATGTTATATTGGGTCGCGTTATATCGGGGTAGAGGTGTACTTATGAATGACCAACAAGATTGTGAAATGCTGTGGGTTTTCTCCCTTGTACTAATCATTTTAAAAATTACTCAAAATAATTACATTTATTAAAATAAAAAAAACCAAAACATTCCCCTTCTTCCACCAGTGATGTGTCTGCAGCTGCTCCCTTGGGGAAAGTAGTTGTGGAATCTTTAGCCAATCACGCTGTCTCATTGACTCAATATTCATTGAGGCTGTTTGCACCACAAGTATAATATATAACCTCCTGCTACAGCTATGTTCCACTGGAACAATGAAACAGCAAAGAGAAGCCTGTGAATGCAGGACTTTACAAGCAGGGCCGGCTCCAGGCACCAGCATTCCAAGCAGGTGCTTGGGGCGGCAATCTGCAAGGGTCGGCATTCCGTGCGTTTTTGCCCCCAAGCAGCGTGCCGAATTGCCGCCGCGGATGGCAGGGGCAGTCCGTGTGCCGTTAGGGCGGCACGCGTGTTTCCGCGGCGGCGGAAATTCGGCAGCAGCTTCTGTCTTCCAGCTGTCTTCCGGCAATTCGGTGCGCTGCTTGGGGCGGCAAAGCAGTAGAGCCGGCCCTGTTTACAAGACTATTGAATTCACTCTTGCAAGAGATAAGAATGACCACAGGTCTCCTCACATTCAGAACTACTTGCAACACTCATCTCTTTGACCTAGTTATTCCTCATTCATTTCTTTACGTATAGTCACCAGGCACACCCATTTAGATGCATAAACAATAACAAACCAAAACCAAACTAATCAACCTACTTCTCCCACAGGCAAAGGAAGAGAAGGAGGGAGGAAGAGAAGGAGGGAGGGAGAGACTGTTGTTATTTCTATTTTTAAATACTTGAAAGGTATTCAGATACTAAAGTGAAGGGGGCTATATGAATACCTAGATAAGCCCATTACTACAGAATTGGTTAAATACTCCTGCAAAGCATGTTGTAGTCTGACTTTTTCAGAGGAATAGCTTATCTCGATATTAACCCTAAATATTTATTTTAAGATCCTTGTTACTAGAGGACCATAAGGACAAACAATGCAGTGATTAGCTTTAGAACTGTCCTTGGCTTGCTATGTGAACTTGGACAAGACACTTATTCTCTCTGTATCTCAGTTTACCCATTGGTTGAATGGGGATAATCATATTTCCTCACCTTTGTAAGGTGCTTGGAGCTCCTCAGTGCTAAGTGTTATTAGCTTCCATTCACGTCCTCCAAACCATAGTAGATAGCCACATTTCCAAATGTACCAAGACATCTTCAACATCCACTGACCTGGACAGGTAGCAAAGATTGGCAGGAAGAACTTTGATTTATCATCTTATCCAGGAGATTACATCCCAGACAATGCCGCAGCACACAGTGAGCTTTGTCAGGGGTATGAATTGCCCTATTGACTTCAAAGAGCTCAGTACGCATTTGAGGACAGAATGTTTCTTGTGGTGTACCACCCATCCCCTTTTGGACTACAGGAAGAAGTTACACTAATTGAGCCATATTACAAAACGTCTGTATTGATGGTAAGCAGAGTATGTGCAATTTGCTCATTTGATTTAACCCAATATAATCATACCATAAACACCCCAATAACCAAAGCAACATATAGTAGTCATAACTTATTGCAGAGCAGCTCATGTCTGTCACAGAGGTCCCTTCACTATTATTTTATTTTATTTTATTTTTTAAATCTAGGTGCCTGGTACATGTAAACTGGAATGCTCATCATTTCCGTTGTGATTCTAATCTCAGACTGAATTCAACTCAGCTGAACCCTAAATTAAATCTAATAGATCTTGGAAAGTAACACATCAATCTTAAGCCACGTGTTTCTAGTGAATGGACATCGTATGTTTTTAGCACAAAGACCAAGCCGCACAGAATTACAGTGTTTAATTTCTAAGCCCGAGAGTACTCCTGAGGCACGTAGTTCACATTCTGTGTTACTACTTTTGGGGCCTAGTCCTAGAAAGTGTCTATGCAGAGCAATTCCTGGGAATGCTCTCAGGTCCTGCTGCAGTCCTATGGGAGTTGCAGGTGCCTGGCTCTATGCAAGGGCATGCCTCTTGTTGAGAAGCACAAGAAGGAACTGAAGACTAGAAGGAGTGGGTTGACTAAGTCACATTAACCATTCACACTTATAGATCCTTATGACATTTCCTAGTCTTCTTAAGTCTTAGTTACAGTGAGCATGCAGACTTTTAACTGTTCCAGTGCCTTTGCTTAAGTATAGTAATAGCTGTTACTGTGAAGAATACACAGGTTGATGGTGGCAGAAGTCCTCTTTTGCTCCTCTTCCCTCCCCCTCCTAACTACTTCACCTCTCCTTCCCTTTTATACTTTCTCCTCTTCTTCAGTTCTCTTTCTCCTCTTCTCCTATTGAACAGCTCATTGTTGAGTGGTGGCATAGTGACATTAGAGGTAAGTCATCCCTGCTCACCATCTCTCTTTTCCTCTTCCTTTTCCTCCTCTTCTCTTTCTCCCTTTTCCCTGCCCTATGAACAGCAGAGCCTGTATATATTTAAGTGGTTAGTCTTGGACATCAAAGATTTTTCAGCTGTCTGCAGGCTAGAAAGAAACTGTGAACTAAACCCCGAACCTAATTGTCTAAACACATTTTTAAAAAATTAATAAAACATATTCATTATGGGCCAAACACAGCTCCTCCCCTTCTGTGGACTCACCAAGCCCCCAAAGCAGCAGAATCACCATGGTTCCTCTGCATAGATGGGGCGGGATAGGGAAAGGGTGCTTTTGCGATCAGTTTATGTCCCTCTCTGTTTGGGGATATTAATGCATTGTTAGCTTCTCTAGTTGGTCCCTGCATTATTTCCCTATATTTTTTGCCATTGCTGCCCATCCCCTCCTCTTCCAGTTGCAAACACTGAATATTTAGCCATTAATTATTCAGCTCACACTATTATTTGATTTTGTGTCAATAAAGAAATCGTCACTACAAACAAAATTACGAATTTGTTCAAATCAATGATTACACACGAGGTCAGATCCTGGAGTACAAGCTGGGCCCTTTTCACTTCAGCAATCCCCAACTGCTGGATGGCCCCCTTGGAGTTGTTATTAGCTGGTACACCTTAAAACAGCCCCTAGGCTGATGAAAAAAATGCCAGGCCCACCACATAGCCAGCCTAGGATCAAGGAGCCACAATGGGCAACTTTGCAGCACCCCCTGTGACCTGAACACACAGGAAACTTAAGTGCAGCTGAGAATTTAGCCCCTACCTAAAGCTAGCTGGAAGCTAGAATTTTCACCCCTGTAGCGAGGCGGTGGGATACCCCACAGCCCCGCTGAGGGCCGAACCTCCCCTACTACCAACGTGGGCGGAGCCACCGGGTCCGGCGCCCGCCCCTCCAAGGTCACGGCCCCGACCTGGAAGTATAAAAGCCCGCCTGCAGAGCTCAGTGGAGCCCAGGCCGGCAGAGAGAGCAGACGTCCCTGGCCGAGTTCCCGCTTGGGGAACAGCCGCAGGCCGCGACCGGCCTGCTGACTCACCGGGCCGGTCGAGCCTACCTCTCGCCAGGTACCCTGAGGAGGACTGGCCAAGGCTGCCCCGTGCTAGCTACCCCGAGGAGGAGCCGAGCCTGCCCTGTGCCAGGTACCCCGAGGAGGACTGGCCAAGCCTGCCCCGTGCCAGCTACCCCGAAGAGGAGCCGAGCCTGCCCCATGCCAGCTACCCCGAGGAGGAGCCGAGCCTGCCCCATGCCAGCTACCCCGAAGAGGAGCCGAGCCTGCCCTTCGCTACCTACCCCGAGGAGCCCATGCTGGTGGAGAGCACCGACGACACTAAGACGGCCCAGGTACCATACAAGGGGGAGTGTGGAAGTAGCCCGGGGGCAGCCGACCCCAGTCTGGATGCTGCACTGCCAGAGCCGATGTCAGTGTGTTGCGGCCAGGATCCCCACTGACAGCAGCGAGTTTCCGTCACTGCTAGGGCCCCGGGCTGGGATGCAGTGGAGTGGGAGGGCCTGTGTCCCCCCTGCCACCCACTCCTTGGGTGGCAGACTCCCCCCTTTTTCCCTGGCCTAGAGAGGCTGGGGGCTGCTACAAACCCTGACCCAGCCCTTGCTTAAGGGCCTGGGCCTCTGACTAACTATTTGCTTGCTGCCCCGCCCTGACCTAGGGCCTGGGCTGCCACAAACTGACCCAGACCCTGCTTAAAGGCCTGGGTACCTGATTGACTATTGGTTTGCTGCCCTGCCCTGACCTAGGGCCTGGGCTGCCACAAACTGACTCAGCCCCTGCCCAAGGGCCTGGGTTTCTGATTGCCTATTTAATTGCTGCCCCACCGTGACCTAGGGCCTGGCCGGCTATAGACTTTGCCTCAGCCCTTGCTTAAGGGCCTGGGTTCCGACCTCTTGTCTCAGCCCCTGTTTACGGGCCTGAGCCCTAACTGTGTGTCTGTTGTCCCAGACTGCCGCCGGACTCGGACGGACGGCGGACTGTAGCGAGGCGGTGGGATACCCCACAGCCCCGCTGAGGGCCGAACCTCGGCCAACACTACTACAACCCCACAGAAAATCTCAACATTTAAAAAAAATATTCTGAACTGGAGCAAAAATGTGAAATGCCAAAAAACAAAAATGCCAAAAAAAAAATTGTTTTGGAACTAGCAAAACTCTTTTGGTTGCAATAATTTCAAAATTGTAGGATATAATGTCAAATACTATATACGCTATATGTGTCTGATATTAAATATATGTATACTATGGTGTTAAATATATTTGTTATATTAAAATTAATATTTCAGTATAATAGAAACATGAAATGAAGCTAAACACTAAAGCTGAAACTAAATGTTTTTATCTTTTACCAAATGACACATTTCAACATTATCAAAAAGGCACATTTGGGCTTTATTGAAATTCTTTGACATTGTTAAAATGAAATGAGAAAGTCGAAATGATTCATTATGACTTTCCTATTAAAATTGTCATTGAAATGGACATGTTCCTGACAAACACTTCAATTTTAGACATAGCTCCATTTTTCAACAGAAACCTGTTCCATAAAAAAAAAAATACAGCTATCTCTACCTATAGTTTCTGATTCTATTGGGATATATTCATAGCCCACACATTGATAATTTGGAAAGAATATGGGGAGATGGTGGGGAACTGTTCCCCCAGGGATCTGTGTGTGGAGGATCTCTTCATGTATGGATCTCCCCACTCCCACATAGAACTTTTTCCAACCTATCATCTTCATCCATCCCTAACCTCAAAATTAAATAACTTTTAGAACACTTGCTTCTTTTCTTGATCATTTAAACACCAACATTGCCATGTGATACCAGCGATTTCTTTAGTAGTGTCTCTAAGTGCTTATCTACACAGCGCTTTTGTCCGCACCAAGAGTCCTGTTTCAAACAGTACAACATTAATGTGCACTAGGGAACTTCTAGTGCACACCAGAAGGGTCCACACTGGCCAATTAGTGTGCAACACGTTAGTGTGGACTATAATTTACAACCCCCTGGTGTGGATTTAAGCAACATGTAAACAAGGCCTATCTCTTTGTTAGTTCACTCAGTTCTGTAGCTGGATGGCTAGCTGAACATGAGCATTAATGTGAATAATCCTTCACTTTACTTCAATAATCTGTTATTCTAATTTATCTGTTTAAAAAAGAATTCCAAATCATAGCCAAGTCTTTGTTAATTATAAATTAGCTCCTCCTGTAATGCATTTTCCTTTCCATGGTAATAGAAAAAGCTTCTTCCTATGTCTATAGAAATCTTTGTTTCCTCAACTCAGTAAATCATATTACATTTCTCTTTATATTCACTATTTCTAATTATTCCAGTCTACTAACTCCCCTAGAGATTGAATACTGCCAAGGCCAAATTGTATAAACCGTTGATTTTTAGCACCTCCTACTCATTGGTTCTGGAGTTATTAGGTCCCAAATTTCTCTTTTGGATGAACACACATGGCTTGCACTGAAGTCAATGGAAACCAAGCATTTATGCATCAAAGGATCGAAACTGGTCCTTACACATTTTGCTCCCTAGCACTTAATTTGGTGGTAACAGCAGTGGCTTGATTGTTCACCATGTTGATAATGAAGTAGTGAGCCTGGTCAGTTACATCTTTATACTGTGTGCATGGAACTATTATAGCAACACATAGAATTCATGTAGAATTGTCTACTTTCCCCACATTGAAGGCGGGGGGGAGAGAAAAGCATCCATGAGTCTACACGATGAGTAATAAATCATAAAACTACACTTTACCCAGGAGAAAAAAGCCTTTGACAGGAG